CTTCTCGAAGAGTATACTTGAGACAGGCAGATATATTCCGCTCAAAGACACCAAAGCTTTTATTACCATCTTTTAGTGCACCGTTTCGCGTGCAGTTTACGTGTCCCTTATTAGGTAGGTTTATTTCTTGAGTTGTCCTTTTGGTTTACCGGTTTCGATATTCTTCGCTGCAGTATGGCGAGAAGGGAGTATAGTTTCTGAATTATTGCACAGAGTATAGCGCATTTTGAAGGGAAAAATCCTGACAAAATAGTTGAAACAGTAAGAGACTACCACACATTTGCTCTAATGGCTTAAGCTCCCATTCTTGCCCAATCTTATGACGCTCACCGCAATTTATGTATCAATGCATAACTGAGCCTTATATCAAGGCATGCACGGAATTTTGAACGAGTCATACACCTTATATGTCAAGAACTCGCGAGGAGTGATGGATTGTCTGGAAAAGCGAGGGAATCATGGTCATTGGAGTTTATATAAACAATGTTTGCTGCTACTTGGTTCGAGAAGTTCGTCTGTGGCCTCTTCGCATAATTATTTATAAACATATCATACGTTGTCAACATCTAGGACTGAATATTTCAACAGGACAAGTCAAAACTTCTAAATCCTAGCTAATGTGCTACAGTTTTTTTGATTTGGCTAGTGCTCACAGGTTAAATTTTTACAGTGAATCGGTTTCTTCACTGAATTGTATCTTCATAATAATAGTAATTGCAAAAATCCTTCCTTTCCATCTAACTGTGAATTTGCACTGTTTAGGTCGCTACTGTGGACCAAATATTCCACCGAAATTTAACTCCATTCAATCAAATATGATAATCACATACGCAAGTCCGGCGGGATCACCTGGGATCGAATTTGATGCCGAGTATCAAGGTAAGTGCAACCAATGTCAGCAATGAAGTTCTTTCTAAAATCGGAGGCAGAATCGCACGCGGTGACTAGAAAAACTAATCAACAAAGTGTGACTGCGAGCTCAACCACTTATGCAAATGCAGAAAATAATTCTAATCATCATTTATTAATTCTGTAGATATTTCCATGCTTAATATGAAAAGTCGATTTGGCAGGCATCTGTTTTTTAAGTAACTCTCCATCAGGCCAGTACATTTTCAGGGCTAATGAAACGTGTGCTATTGGACAGGGTTAATATTTGTACTTTAAATTAGAACTTATAGTTTTCACGACGGCCACATGGCGTGATTGACGTGTATAGATCCCTGTGCTGGGGGAGGGGGGGAGTAAATTGGGTTAGGTTGGGGACATTGATCGAGAGTCAGGTATATGCAGTGATCATCACTGTCATTTGCACGGAGCGAACGACTGTCACTAGGGGTGGGGGCGATGTCTGATCGTCACGTGGCGTCGCAGTCGGCCACGGAAGTGAAGGTGTTTGTGCTTGCGTCTTCTGACAAAATAGCACTCATTTTGCAAGCTGTTAAGTCACTGCCTTGGCTGTTGCAAGCACTCGCTGACGTAGGCCCTTTGGAAAAATAGTTTGTGTCCTGTAGATAACCTGAAAGGTTTCACTAGCATTGACTCGAGTACTCATGTCGACAAGGGGTGCGAAAATGGAACTCGAGCTCAATCCAGTTTCACCTTTCATTAACCAAGTGAATTATCCTCACGTATCCTCTTTTCTAGGCGTCTCGTTGTTCGGCCGATATATTCTGCTTCAAATGGGCACGTAAAAGAGTAACTTCACATGAATGTGACCTTTAGCGGGACTCACTCTTTACCTACAAATCGTAAAATGTACGAGTGCGGGAAGAACACGCGTAAGTTCGCCGCGAGGAGAGCACTTGTGATCGCATATGTGGAACTGATTTTGTCAGTGTCATTGAGGTTTTGCAGGTGTAACCTCAGAGTAAACTGCATTCACCAGAAAAACCATGCAAACGAAGATCGTTTTGGATCCACTAAAATGCACGCATTTTGCCAAATCAAGCAAGGTCTTCGGGCAATTAATTATCTGATGCGTTCCATTAATTATGCCACTGATATGCGCGAACACTATTTAATGATGTCTGTAAAGCAGTATATATTAGACTAAAGTGTCGTCTTTGTAATTCAGTGCAGCTGTAATAAGAACAAGACGTGTATGTTTGTTGTTTGTTTCTGCCAACATTCCATTGGTCGTTTTGTCATGCCAAGGACACACTGAACTTAATCATACGCCGACTGCCATTCGTGGAGTTAACTAAGTTCAAAATCCTGCTTATCTGCTGGGCATGTCCGCATCATTTAAACAACCGCAGGAAAAGACATAGAACGGTTAGGAATTTCACAGAATTAATGGCATATCAGCAAGGACTGGAGTTCAGTCTAAATAATAGTCAAAAAAGGACCGTGTGTTAAGTCAACGTAGGGCCAGTAGTAGATGAATGCAGTTAACGAAAAAAAAATTTGGAATTAATTGAAGTAGAAGCAAGGTCGAACACCAGAGTTACTAATTACTAGGGAAATTAAAGGTTGACCATATGGTCAAGCTGCCTGTTTGTGTGAACGAATTCAAACGAACATTGGACGAACGCAATGGCAACTCGCAGCCAGGGCCGCTGAGCACCTGCCCAACTGGTTTTTCAAGCAAGAAGGCACAGTACCACGGTCCTCTATTACCAAGCATCTAGTAGACAGCGGCCATTCTGTCGAATTCAAAACAGCGTTTCGAATACGTGTTTGGGCCCGAGCAAACCGAACCTAGCGCTATTTAGATGCTGCCTACATATGTTGTGGGAAACCCGACCTATGCAAGCAGTTTGAGCATCCCACAAGCC